GACCAGCAAATTCAGGGTAACCCTGCAATTGACTAGCATCCCATCCAGGGGTAGTAGAAAATTATTAATACTCCTTGTCACTTCAAGAATTGGGGTTAATCACAGGCCCTATTTGCCACTAGGCTCAAACAGGGACTTTGTAATTGCACATAGATTTAATTCATGTTTCTGCTTTCTGTTTTAAACAGGTACAAATTCTAGATGCCAGAAGCGGGAGGGTATCCTGTGTCCTAAAAGATGTAAGATATAAATCATGCTATCCTAGATTTTATGCACATGTATGTTCTTGTGCCGAAGCAGAGCAGCAAGTTGATTCTGAATTTTATCAGTGAATCAATAAATGTCTGAGCTCACAATAAATCGAGTTTCCTACACGCTGTTGGTGGAGGTGCGGTGGCCTCATGGTTAGTGCACTTGACTCTGGATTGAGCGGTCCGTGTCTGAGCCCTGGCCGGAGACATTGTGTGTTCTTAGGCCAGACACTTTACTCTCACAGTGCCTCTCTCCACCCAGGTGTATAAATGGGTACTGGTGACCTGAAATGCTGGGGATAACCCTGTGATGGACTAGCATCCCATCCAAGGGGGAGTAGAAATACTCCTCGTCACTTCATGCTCCAGAAACTGGGATTAGCTCCAGCCTGATCTGCCACTTGGCTCGGATGCAGACTTTACTTTTTGCCACACATTGTGGAGTTGATTTTCAAATGGCCTGCCTTTTTATTTATTTCTAGCTGTCTCCATCCTGCACCATTTCTGATGTTAAAGAGGAGTATCATAAAAAATGTAAGTAGCCAGTTTGTGAGGTTTGTGACAGTTGTATAAGATTATATTGTCAGTATACAATGTATATTCTGTATGTCATTCTTATATGATTTCTAATTAACTCATTACAAAGTGAATCCAAGAGATTGTAACTTAGAATTATGTTCTGTTAACATTTTGCCCCAGTTTCAAAGTTATATCCTGAAAGACAATCATTTCGGCTTGAACCAAGTAAGTAATATCCCTATTTAAATGGATTTGATTCTGTTAGTACTCCACCATCATGGTAATATTTATACACAGTGTACGGATATATTTTTCATTATATTATGCTTTTTATCAAGATATTTCTGGTAACTATTTACCTGACAAAGCCTTTCATAGATTACCACCAAAATTAATCTGTTATTACAGTATGTGTGGTCTTCCCAGAAATTATTATTATTTAGTTCTCTGGATATTTCAATGCCATATTGATAATTAATTTACCACTTATAAATTTAATTAACAGTCGTATCAGGTACCAGGTCTGGCCTTCCCTTTTGATTCCATCATTTTTTATTTACATGTACATGAATGTTTCAAATATGTTTCCCTTTCAAGGAGGAAAAGCTGTGAAAGATGAAGAAACATTAGAATCCTTAGAAGTTAAGGATGGAGGCAAATTATACTTTAAAGATTTAGGTATGCATAAGACCTAAGAACACTCCTAGCTTGATTTAAGTCACCTTACATTGATATGTGCAACCACCAAAGTTTAATTAAATAGTTTACAAACAGCTTGCTTTGACTGCTGAATCCATAAGAGGAAAACAATGAAAATTCTCTATATAACTGTTTGCCAACCTTGTTCTCTCAATTTATAATAAGCCAGCCCATTTATGCATTATTGCTGAATATTATTATTTCATCTACTCAGGTCCCCAAATAAGCTGGACAACGGTAAGGAAATCACCCAGGTTTCTGCTTAATAAATTAGAATGTCAGCTGCTTTTGACCTTGGTAAAAAACTGAAAAAGTCAATTACAGGTGTATCATTACTGACAGTAATTAATTGACATATTTTTCCTCCGTTTGCAATTAGGTATTTTTAGTTGAGTACGCTGGTCCTCTAGTAGTTTACATGCTGCTATACATTCGACCTGCTATTGTTTATGGACCTGAAGCAGCCAGCAAACCTTATGCCACTGTAGTACAGTAAGTTTGCTTTGTAGTGGGTAAAAAAATTAGAGTGCATTTCAGAAACCTTTTGACAAATGGCTTTCGAAGTTCATTTGGAATTCCTGAAGTTCGCTAGGAACTTGGCAATTTCATTACCTAGTGGTTAATCAAATTGCGAACTTGGAAATGAAGTCGTGAATTTCACGTTGAACTTCGTTGGGAAGTTGCGAAGTTTGTTGCAAGCGAAGTTCACGCCATTATGTGTGTTTGGTTTGGTAATATAATTACAAATGAATCTCTTCACATTGCAAATGAAAGCAACAAACTGAATGGCGCAAACTTCACTTGCAACGAACTTCGCAACTTCTCAACGAAGTTCGGCATGAAATTCACAACTTTGTTTGCAAGTTTGCAATTTGATTGACAACTACATAATGAAATTGCCAAGTAAGTAGCAAACTTCGGGAATTTAAAACAAACTTTGGAAACCATTTGTCAAAATTTTGTGAAATAGTGTAATGGTGCAATTCAAGATTCTCTTAGTGAGATCCTAAGACTTTTGCTGGAGAATCCAGGGCTGAGACTGACTGATGACACAGAAATGCCAGAATGTGTGACTCATCTTAATTACGCTTCCAAGAGTTAAGATCAAATAAAAAATTTTCCAAGACCCAAGATTTTGTTAGTGACATTTGCCACTCTCTTTTGCTTCTCACTGTTAATCACTGACACAGTAATCTTATAATTCTTTGTTTGTTTATTTGTTCATTCATGCATTTTAGTGCTGGTTTGTAGGTTGGTTTGTCAGTTAGTTGTATGTTTGTTCAAGGTTACTTTGTTTGTTTCTTCATTCATTTGTGTGCATGCTGGTATGCATGCATCTATTTGTGGTTACTCATTTTGTTCCTTCTTTCTTCCAGTTACTCAGTCACTTTGTCATTAAATTTTTGCAATGTTTAATTGTGTCTTTTTGTTGGTTTCTTGTAGTATAGCAGCAGCCTGTTGGTCAGGCCACTATGCCAAAAGACTGTTGGAGACACTTTTTGTTCATCGCTTTTCCAAGGCAACAATGCCCTTGATGAACATTTTCAAGGTAAGGACAATCTACTTTCCTTTGTCATAAGCATCTCCACAAAATGTGCAAAAGATTTTCCGCTGAAAACCATGAGAAGTGTGACTTACGTAAATGTATTTCAAAAATATACTTGTCATTGTAACTAAGTGAAAAGTGTGATAAGATTGACAATCAATGCTCACAGACTAGCAACCATATTTACTGTACAATGATTTAATGATTACTATTGACAAGGGGAGATTCATAGCTTAATATCCACATTATTTTAATCCCATTTTTTTCCTTTTGTTTTTCATGGTATTTCTGAAGAATTCTGGTTATTACTGGTAAGGATAATATACATGTATAATTATGCCTTTAGTCAGAAGCTTTGAGACTTGTTTTGTGTTTGTGGGGTAGAGTACCCCAGTTTGATAAAGGTTTCTGACTCAATGCTTACAACAGGTGCGAACAGCATTCTTGGACATTAGCCTAACTGCAGATATGTTGAAACTTATGTTGTGGCTTTTTCTTAGGGGTTATGGTGCTCTAGTTGGATATTTTGTGAATCACCCATTGTATACACCACCAAGTAAGTTTTATCTCCTTACTAAGTTTTTTTCAATAATGTTCTGATTTACTTGTATTATCACTAACTCTTTTGTTTAACCAGAATTCACACATTACATACACGTACGTAAATGCAGATTGTTTTCACTGTCGTGCAACATTAAGTTTTTATTCACCTGTAACCTTGATCTTCACACTGTAACAAACTTGTTTCTTTTTGAGTTAACTGTATCAGCTATTGGCAAGTTCACCCGTTACATCAAGGGTTTCAGGTTACAGTCCTTATTGACAGCCCTGCTGTTCAAAGTTATTGAGCCTGTCTGGTAACACCTCCCCATAAAGGCCATAAAATGAAAGAACCTCCCCCCCGGGCTGCAACTGCTAGAAAAGTCTTGAAACACCTCTCTTTCTGTTTTTGTTAGTGTATGGGGATGCACAAGTCTACACCGGTCTGGCAATGTTCTTGGTGAGTTCTGTTAAACATATCCATGCTTCATTTTTATGTTAGCTAATTGAAATTAATTTTGCAGTTGACTACAATAAGGTGAGCTGCAGTATTTTAATGGTTTGTGTACAGGAACAGAATATTGAACGTGGGCATTAACTTCCTGGTAATGCTGTTGCTATAGAAACTAGTGTTGAGCCATTGGTCACCTCTAGATAGCAATGTAGAAATTGAATCTATTTTAATCACTTTTTTCTTCTAGTTTAATGAGTATGGAAACTTTGTTATCCACTGTGCTTTGCGGGACTTAAGGCCGGCAGGTATGTTTGTGTGCTTCTATTTAGAAACTGTATTAATCAGTCGGTAAGGTGAGCACTGTTCTTCATACCAAGCGGTCCAGATTCAAGGCCTGGCCAGGTTCATAGTGACGTGTCCCATGCAAGGCTCTTTACTCTCACAGTGCCTCTCTTTACCTGGGGGTTTAAATGGATACCGGCAAACGTAATGCTGGTAATGCTGGGGGTAACCCTACATGTACAATGCGCTAGTGTCGTTTGGCTTGGGTCCTTGTGCAATGCTCCCTCTCCCAACAATGGCTGCTTAATATTATATTCAGAGTAATGAAAACTCATCTCACCTTGTTACAAGGTGGCTTTGGTGAATGTGACCCCAGCTTAGATATAAATCACCAGACACCTGCTCTTTATGTTACTTTGTTGTTACTCTGCTTTAGGTACAAAAGAGAGGAAGATTCCCTACCCAACATCGCACCC